CCAGCCCCGCCGTGCGCAAGGGCCGGGAGGGACAGCCCAAAGCAAAACCGGAGGATAATACCTGTGGCGACCACAACTGATCACCTTATAGCAACCTAGGCAGAATCGCACAAAGGTTGTTAAGAATATTTTAGTTGTAAGTCACAGAAAGATTAAGGGGAGGGGATTGAGGAGTCTTGTCCCCTTCCTATCAGTCTCTGCCGCACCTGTGGCTAAGATTCCCAGCGCATTTTGTCACGGCATCTTCTGGAGCTAGTTTGAACCTAATTGCTCTGGCTCCAGGGTTTTCCATTCATTTCTCAACTTCCAGTGTCGTTCACAGCTGGACGTCTTCCTGGTCACAGACCTAGATTCCTGAGGGGAAAGAAAAGTGCATCTGGATCGCCATTGAAGTGTGTGGGCTTCCTCCCTAGTAGAGAGAATTCTTAAGGAGGTGTGTGTACCTGAGCCTTGGTCTATATCATTGTACTGTCACCTAGTGTAACACCAGGAGGCATCCGGACCTGCTATAATGCCGTAGAGAGAATACATAAATATTCCAAACTCAATCGCAAGAGGATGTTTATCCCCAGACGGATCACATTCCTACAAGTAGTTCTGCCCAGTTTTAGTTATTTAATTTGGGTAAAAAGACCTCAAAATTGTTAACATTTACCTGGCGTTATCTGTTAAGAAATAGATGTATACGGATTCTAATTTTCACACTGAACTTTATTAAGTAGTCTTGAATAATTATTACCCAATGTGACAAATAAGGAGACTGAGGCACACTTTGTTTTTGATAATGTTATAGTGCTATTTAGTATCACCTCCAAATTTGGAACTGAGTAGACTGTCTATAGAATTACAGGTGGCCTCTAGTGGCTAGTGTCTCCTTTCCCACACTGATGACTTTTCAGATGTCTTTTGACCAGAGCACTGGCATAAGGACTTCCCCATTGCCAATGGAGAGCGGCAGTCCCCTGTTGACATTGACACCAAGACTGCCCAGCATGACCCTGCCCTTCAGCCTCTGAGTGTATGTTATGATCAAGCAGCTTCTAAGAAGATTCTCAACAATGGCCACTCCTTCAACGTTGAGTTTGATGACTCCCAGGACTGTGCAGGTCAGCGTTTAAGAAACATTGGGGTTTTTAGCCAATAGTTATTTTCCATCTTAATGGAAGATACAGAGACACTGGCAGGAAGCCCCTGCCACCACAGTTTGTTTCTAGAAGCTAAGATATCGTTCTAATTTTTTTGTTGTTGTTGTTAGGTTCCAGAAGTAGGCAAATTCTGTGAACTATCCTGCTGGTGCTGTTTAATTAATACCTTGTCAGATTGTGAGATATGTAGGGCATCAGGCAATGTGTTTGTGAGAAGTCACAGAAAGTAAAACAGTACAGAAACCATCTGACTCACAGAACTTTTAAACTTTCAAGACTTTCTTAACTTTTAAACTTTTAAAACATTTGTCCTCCTGAGTTGATGATGTCTATCTTCGATAAGTATGTCTTTGGGGTCTTCAAGTCAGCAGTATGGAAAGTGAGGAGTCTGATGACTTAAAATGTTGAAGTTTCAAACTGTGTATTTGCATACTGTGATAAAGGTAGCAGTATCTTATTCAGAAATTTATTCTACAAGTGAAGATTTTTCAGAATTGGTTGGCTATGCTTAGCCAGTTACTGAAAAACCCAGTTACCACAATTTATTTGCAATAGGGCCATTGACAGGATGCTGGTGAATGGCTTTTCTTCTTTATTTAGAAAAAGGAGACTGATCCCATTTATACATAGTAGCTATCCTGATTGCTCCCTGGCTGATTTAATTGCCAGCGTCCTATTTTCCAGAAGGTTTTCCTTTGAAGGTCACTGAATGAAATGGGCCTGTAAATGCATTATGCTTGAGGGTGGTTTGGAGAAGGGGGGTGCCTTAGAGGAAAAGGACCAAGACCCAGGAAACAGCTACTATTGCTGTCAGAGTTGGAAGTAATGCCCGTGCTAAATACTGGCATGTATATAACGTGTAATTAAAGGATTATAATCTGGTTGGCCATTATGTTTCAGTATCAGCAGAGAAATCTCAAATACTTCAGACAGAATCACCACTTGAAGAGAGGTGTATTTATTGGGGGGTGTGTGTGAGCAAACACACACATGCAACAGACACAGAGAAAAGGACCATCTGTAAGAAGAGGGGGAATTCAGAATGCCAAATGAAAAATCCCTTGTCTCTTCTTGAGGGCTGGGAAAGCCTCTGAAGGATTTTCCTCCCCTAATTTTGGGTTGGTCTGTTTGAAGAAAGATAGGATGGCTGATTGGCCCACAACTGTTGTGTAACAAGTCTTGACCTTGTAACTTGTTGAGTCAGTCCCTCTGTAGGGGGCCTGCTGGTGGGAGACAGAAGTCTCACAGAGCCTGTGTTTTAAGCTTTATCTCAAGTCATGAGGGTGATGTGGCAATCTCTGAAATTCTTTACCTCTATTACCTAGCTATGGCCCCCTTCCCCCATCTGCCTTATTAGGAGTCTTTCTGTCGACATCGATAACATTAGCTCATGCCTCATAAGGGTCATGAGGGTAGTTGAGACCTCATTCCATTCTTGTATCCTCAGAATGGAGAATGTACTGAAGATATCTAAAGTAGAAGGATATAGAAACAATAGGCTTTAATTGTAACCTTGATACATGCAAAAGTAAACTCTTCAAGGAATTGTGGGCTCTTGATACGGGATCCAAGTAGTCACTGAAATGAATCCTTTGGTTTAAGAATTCTCTGAGGAGAGTTTAAAAGGATAGCATCAGCCGGGCGGTGGTGGCGCACGCCTTTAATCCCAGCACTTGGGAGGCAGAGGCAGACAGATCTATGGGATCTATGTGAGTTCGAGACCAGCCTGGTCTACAAGAGCTAGTTCCA